CAATTATTCCACGAGTGCGTGTTGGATATGAGATGATAGATAGCCAATGAGGCTCGTAGCGCCAAGTTGGCTATAATCATCTCATATCCAACAAGCGAGAGTGGAATAATTGTTTTATTAAAAACGCCCTCAAGAAATTATTATTTTGTGAGAAGAAACTGGATTTTTTTAGCTCCCTTTTGATTTTAAGCTGACACGTACACTTACCATATCTGTAGATTATGGTATATTGGCTCATATACCATAATGGCTAAGCCAATAAAAAGTCTTGAATTGCATTATCCAATGATCGAGTTTTTAATAATTTGTGTTATGTGTTATGCCTCTTTTAGGTCAAACCATTGATTCAGGTGTAATTAGACATGTATAACTTACACAGGATGTCCTTTCTGTTTTTTTTTTTTTTTTCATTTTTGGCAACTACAATTTCATTTTATGAGTTAAGATAGCCCAATCGTGTATTGAAAAAAGGCTTGGCTTGGAACCCAGACTGGAGTATGTTAGTGTTGTCCACCCTGGTTTTCAAGGGTAAACAAGTAATCAGAAAAGTAAATGAGGATTGACCATAAAGTGTGAGTGTTTGATGCCCACAAAAAAATTTAATTAAAAGAGGGAAAATGAAGAATATGGAATGGAAATTTAAATGCAAAAATAATTAATCGGAGTTAAAAGTATCAATAAAAATAAGAATTTACTAACAGCTAAAAATCAAGAGGTTTATGTTCTTTTTGTTTGTTGTTTTTATTTTTTTTCATACCTAGTGTATAATTTTGGATTTAGTTTAATACTAAAAGAAACTTCTGGAATTGCTTTTTTCGTTGTTTCAATTTCTAAATTAGCAGGTGCTTTGGATGTAAATGTAACACAAGTTAGGATGGTTGATGTTGAGAAGGACATGTCCAGTTGGGTCAGTGAGGGAGGATGTTGGAAACCGTCTGAATGTAAAGCTAGGGTTAAGGTAAGCAGATGTTGTCTGTTCTTTGGTTGAGTGGAAAACCAAACCCAAAGTAATTACAAAAGCAATCTAGACAGGGATACATATCACAGGGAGAAGATGACATCTGAATGGTATGCCAGTTCTCAAACCTGCACAGTCTGCTGCAGCAAACAAAAACAAAATAATGCAATTTTAGGTTTGCCTTTGACACCCAAGGGAAATGTTTTTTATTAGCCTAGACTCAACAGATAGTGTTGTATAGTCCTTGAAAAAGTTCCAAATTTCTGATATTTGAAAGGTAACAAACACTCGGTATGCTGTCACACTGTTTTCAGAACCATCCAATTTCTTTAGATGCCTATGATCATAGAGACTTTTTTTGGGCTGTAGGAGTAAAGCAAAACCGGTACTCTCCAAGATTACCCACAATGCTTAATAGAAAATTGCAGCTCAAGTTAACCCTTTAACCCCTAAGAATGACTAGTATCTTATTTCTCCTTACAATACCACCTCTGTATGACACATTTTTCAGTACAGGTCATGAGAATATAGGAAATGATCACCAACTAAAGATGCTTTTGATTGTTCAACAAATTCTCCCTGTCAGCACCTTAGCAAATGTATAGAGAAGAGTATGGAGAATATACTTAGTGATGTTAGGCTGTAAAGGGTTAAAGTATCGTAATATTGAAACAACGATGGTACAAAGTTAAATTGGACAAAGTGTTAGATTTAACACATATTTCATCGGACGATCTCTCGCCAGATGTCCCTCATTATTCCATATCGTAATCGCTACGAGCAGCTGTCCATCCTTGTGCGAAATATCCACCCCATGCTAAAGAGACAGAATTTGGACTATAGGATGATTGTCATAGAGCAGGTATAGGCGGATTCATGCTGACGTCATTGTTTACATTTTTGCTTATTTGTATACGGCTTTGCGTAAAGAAGGAGGCATTTTAGATACAAATTGACTTCAGGCAGCTAAAGAGCTAGAAAACCTTAGTACATGGGGAAATTTTTAGCTCTTTGGGTGTAATATTCAAGGAGAAATAATCCATCAAAAACTGCAAAATTTCTGGGTGGCAAAAGCGCTAATGAGCTCATACATTCTATGTAAAATTTGGAGTTTTTTTTTTTTGCAAAAACAATATTCAATGCATCAGGCTCGTATTCATTGGCCGAGTTAATCGTACTTCGACCTTTCGATATTCAGAACTGATTTATTTTTAGCTCCAACAGAAACTGAATTGCTTATGCTAATGAGGCAAATATTGTAAACAAGGATTCCCCTATTGGGAACCGTTTATTGTGTTTTTTAATCAACTATGGTATTTTTGTGGTTCTTTTCATCCGTTCTCGAATGTAATGATTTTATAATTATCAGCTTTTGTTGTGTTTTATTTGCATAAGACTTTATGCCGTTTTATCAGTGCATGGTTCGTACCTTAGAGACAAGCAGTCCCTCCTTTTCGGCGAAGTCCATTGTGCGAGAAAAAAAAAAAAAAAAAAAAGAAAAAACCATGAAAAAAAAGTTGGTGTCAATGCACCGCTGGAAGTTGTTAGAGTGAGACCGATGCCCCGTAGGACCTCCACGAGTAAGACGCTCGAAAAGTAGAGACTAATGCGATCGTGGTAATGAAAGGGTTAAGTTTACTGAATATGACAAAGTAATAGCTCTCATTGCCACTTGCCATGGCTGCATAAAGAAAAGTTTCATTTACGTTACATATAAACATCACCTATATTTCAACTCGGATTTACAAGAGTAGCTATATAACTAATTTCTAGCTAATCGGTAGAGGAATTCTCAGTATCCTATTTCCGAATTACCTTTAGCCTCTTTTTGAAAGCGAGTCCTTGTGCTCATCCTTTTATTTGATACAGTGGAACCTCGATTTAACGAACCTCTCTATAACCAGAGTCACTAACTCTGATATAACGGAGTCCTCGGTACAACGAACGATACTTCAGTTTCAGCTACCCCTGAGACGAAAATTGACCATTCTATTTTGGGCTAATTTTTGTACAGAATGTTGAATTGAGTCAAGTTAAAACCCTTTTTTCCATTAAAAACTCAAAATAAACCTTCGATGATCAATTTTTACCGCTTCAAAGTCACACAAATCGCATCCGTTTTTCCCGCTCTGATTTATTTGCAAGGCTCCGATGCAGAGAAATACCTGCAGCATGGTCTGCACGATTGCTTCAGCTTTGAATTACGCATCGATGCCTCGTCATTTTTGTTTAGTTTTTGTAAGAATTGAGTAAAGCACTCTGTTATGTTTGCTTGACATTTTGCCATGTGAGATTCTCGCGTTGAGCCTTTGAGTCCTGCGATCAACTTCCGGAACATGTTCAAATAATGGCGGACGCGAAATCGCGAATTTAACGGCCCGAAAAAAGATCTTTCTGGTGCTCGGTTTAGACTGAAATTTGGCAGAGTAGGTGAAGGAGACACACTTAACACGAAAATGAAAAAAAAAAAAAATGATGTACGAAAATTATTATCTCAGGGGCACTTTATGCCATAGAACCTCGATATAACGAACCCTTTTCCCCAGTCCCTCGGCACTTCGTTAAATCGAGGTTCCACTGTAATACGTTTTCATTCACATACAAATTAAACTCATTTTCACAAGAATGGTTGAGCACCAAGCCTCGTTTTGAAAAAAAGGCCAAAGGTAATGCGGAAACGGCCAATTGTGTGTCGAAAGTAATCCAGGATCACTATGCTCTGTGATTGGTCAAGAAAACTGTCAACCAATCAGATGCAAGCTAAAAACAATCTGGACTTGGTGATTCGCGTTTTCCCGCGCTTCAAGCAGTTCGCTTGTTTTCACTTTGAGTACTCATTTGGTTCTCATAATGATAATGGTAAACCTTTACTCTAATTGGTTTCTGGGATTACACTGTTATTTGAATTTACTGATTGGTTTCTGGGATAACACTGTTATTTGACTTTACTGATTTGTTTTCGCACAGGCAGGAGATACTCCATTTAACCGTGCCATGCTGTTCAATATTGGCTATCAAGAAGCACTCAAGTTTGATAATTACACATGTTTTGTGTTCCATGACGTTGATTTAATACCAGAGGATGATAGGAATGATTACGGCTGCCCCTCATCACCCAGACATCTGTCAGTTGCTGTGGATAAATTCGATTATAGGTAAGTAATTTCTGATGTTTGCGTGCGAGGCGCGGTGGCCTCGTGGTGCGCTCGACTCCGAATCGAGTGGTCCGGATTCGAGCCCTGGCCGGGGACATTGTGTTGTGTTTTCAGGTAAGACACGTGACTCTCACAGTGCCTCTCTTCACCCAGGTGTTTAAATAGGTACCGGCGAATTTAATGCCGTGGGTAACCCTGCGATGGACCAGCATCCCATCCAAGGGGGAGTAAAAATACTCCTAGTCGCTTCATGCTACAGAAACTAGAGTTAAGCGCCGGCCTGATGGGTCACCTTGCTCGTAAACAGACGTCTTATTTCTGATGTTTCAGAGAATGTTTCAGTGGCTGTTTTCAGCTTATACTTTCGATGAAAATATCGCGTAGAGTCCCAAATTACCATACACGTCTTGCGTTCCCTTCTTTCTTAACGTATCGTTTTCTTTCAGGCTGCCGTATGATACCATTTTTGGAGGTGCTGGGTCCTTTACAAAGGACGACTTTCAGCTAATCAATGGTTTTTCCAACCAGTTTTGGGGATGGGGAGGAGAAGACGACGATCTGTTTAACAGGTGACGGGGTTTTATTCGATAAATGTTTGTTTTAGTGGAACTCCGAGATTGCATCAGTTTTTCCGCTTCATTGTGCTCTGTGCAAGATCATGTCCTCTCCTCTCCAACAATGATATGTAATGCTCAGAACAAAAGCTCAAGTTCGGGTGAGAGCCACAAAACACTGTGTCGCACACAGAAGATAAAAAATAAACAACTTGAAAAAATTATCTTCACTGATTCAGGAAGTTTATGCGCGTGAATCTCTTTTCAAGGCTGAACTTTTTTTAATCTCTAGCTGCACTTAGTTGTTTCTCTAAAAATCCAAGTTTATTTATCGAGGGTAGCACGAAACAGTTACAATACTGATAAACTTGTGATTACATTAAATATATCCTATGTAGATACTTAAAGTATTATATATAGATATTTAGTATAATTTCTGAGCTGAGCAAAGAGTTTCCAGCGATCTGATTGGTCGAGCGGTTCCTTATATGACGCTATATAAACCGCTCTACGTGGTTTATATAAAATGTTAAAATAAAATGTTAATAAATGTTACTAAAATGTTATGATTTTAGAAATTTCTCTGTTGTTCAGCTCTGAAATTATACTAAAACAATTATTCACCTCAGGTTCGGTGAATATTGTGGAATAATCCCCTCTACTTCGTCTCGGGAATTATTTGATGATATTCACCTCTCCTTCGGCGAATAATTGTTAATTATACTCTGTGGTAATTAATGGAACATGCAGATGTTTGTGTCCTTTTGAGTAATTATCCTCGTGCCACATTTTACTTTTTCATCTACTTCAACAGATCATGTTTCTGGAAGACTTAGGCTGTGAATCTTCTCTGATTTTTCAAGACACTTCAGGCCAAGTGTACAACTTTGGATCAAGTGCAGGGTACTCTTTTTTATGCCTGAATCCTGACATCAACATCAAATTCCGAGACCACTTTGGTATTATATTATTACTTTGAATTAGTAATATTATAAACATCTTTGAAAGTGTTCTGTTGATTTTTTGGCATGCAACTGTATTTAGCAGAAGCTTATATCAGTAGCTTATACTATTCAGTGTGTCATCCAATTGACGAGATTATTCATGATTGTAAATAAGGTGAATATGTTATCAAAATAGACCAGAAACTACATAGTACCTCTCTCTTTATTTATTTAGCTTGCACCAATGAGAGGTTCACATACAAAGATGTACAACAGCTATTCAATTCCAAATACAGTAAGTTTAAAAATATACATATTATTTACTTTATAGTACAGATATTAACATGTAATTGTTGTCATCATCATCATCATCATCATCATCATCATCATCATTGTCATCATTATTATTATTAGCTGATTGGTTGTGAATGGCTTATTCGATATATACCTTAATAGCAGCATGGGCTGAATTGCTAAGGTTTACAATGTTATTAAGGTTGAGATC